AAGAAGCAATTGCCTGCTTAATTGGAAGACTGCCTCTTAAGGAATAGAGAGAGGGAGAGAGAGCAATGAAGTTTAGGCTTTTAAATAAACTGGAAAGTTTATGCATTGTAAATTATCAGCTCGTTTTCTTGAATATATCAAGGAACACTATTTTGATATATTTCATAATTTTGTGGGGGTTTTAAAGTATTAATGAGCACATATACATAGAAATAGTGACTTCTTGAATACTGTGCTTAATTTTACCCCTTACCTCAAGACTCCTGTATATTATAGGGTATAATAAAACACAGATGTGAATTGTGAAAAAGTAAAAAATTAACACATAGAATTATACATTATCCACGACTTTAATGTTAATCCATTGTATGTATCTTTCTCCCTTCTGTTTTCCTCGTCTGGATTCAATAGGTATTTTCCTACGTTGGAACAGATCCTCCAAGTATTTGGATGAAGCATATGAAGAAATGGTTAACATCATTGACTATAATAAGGAATTACAAGCAAAAGTAAATATCCTTAGGAGGCAGTTGGCAGAACTGGAAACTGAAGATGGGATACAGGAGAGTCCCTAAAAGATATCCCCACACCGTGTAAGGACATTCTCACACCACTTCTCTTGCCCTTCAGCTCACTTTTACACAGTAGCCTTGAACTTAAGGCTTAGATGTGAGAACCCTTTAATGTAATGGATTTCTCAATATTTTATGAACAAAACTTATTATAATTACTCATGTTTCATGTGGCCAGTTAGGCCTCTTCACTTCGGGAGCAGGAAGGAGGTGCTAGTCATTTTATTTTAGGTGAATCAGGTGACTTATGTAATGCCATTTTGTGTTATATGCCATTTCATTATAAGCTTTTCTTTGTATCCACTTTCCAAACAGTGCTCCAGACCAGTCAAGGATATGATTAATCTCTTTGGGGAACATTTGTCAGTTTAAAAAAGGATCAGACATTTAAACACTTTGAATATAAAAATATTTTTCAAAACTGAAGTGGTGGATAAACCAAGAATTTTATGTTTAACATGTCATTGCCAATACCTGTGCCGTTCTCTTTAAAATAGTTTTGGACCATCAAGCTGAATTCATTCTCATTCTGGTTTGTCAAGAAATTCTGAGTAGTTATTCAAGGTAAATTATTTTTACAAGGGTAACAGGTATAGTCCTCTGATATTTACATTTTAACAGTAGACACTAAAAGTATGTGCAATATAGAAATGTCTAGGAATTTGTTACTGATGTGGTGTTGTTACTGTTGAATTGGTCTTTCGGGTTTTTGACCGTACATATTAAATGTGTATCAGATGCTGGATGTAACATTAAATCATCATTTATAATAGATGTTAATTTGTAATAACTAAGCTACAAATATGGTTTCTTTGAACCAGAGATGCACTGCCCTTGTCTGAAATTCTTATTGCACTGGTTTATGTATGTATGTGTATGTTTTATTGTGTTTTATTAAGTATTCTAAGAGTTTACTAATACTAAGGTTACAACTTTCATGTTGGCTTCAGCCTTTTGAAAATTCATCTCGATTCTGCTGATTTGTCCATTATATGTTAGGCAAATATAATTTAAGTGGAGGTGAAAGTTTATGAACGTGATGCAGCTATGTTTTAAACGTCAAAAACAGATTTGAAATGTTTCAATGCTATAGAAACAGTGATGACTGTATTAATGCTATGCTAGTTTATGCCACAACTCTGAAATTTTGCAGCTCAGTGCTTTCCACGTACGTTTCTGTTTTGTGGCACTCCTCATTTTAACAAACACTATCAATTTTAGTTATCCTTTAAAATGATAGTTGAAGAGTAATCATTAATACCATTTCCGCTCCATCTGTATATAACCATTTCAGTGTAAAACACACTCAAACTGAACCTTGCTTTTAGAGCTTTGTATTGAGCTAAAAATGTAATTTTAAAAAATTGACTCTATCAAAATCTATGGCCACATTCGGAAGCCTTAGAAAGTGGCAAATTCTTTCTATCTCGTTGCCCAAGTTTCATCTCTTTTCTGTTTCCTGAGACTTGTACCGAAAGGCTGGACAATTCGTATTCAGAACTCTCTTTTGGTAGATTTGTCTGCCTTTTCCTCTAAGCTCAGTTTTATTCTTGACTTATTTTCTTGGCTATAGTTATGAATCTCAGGGCATTAAAGCCCTCACCAAAAGGCTAAGGCAAGGAGCAAAGGAGATGTACTTTCTTGCTATAGATATCTCTGTATTATGTGAAACATCTATATATTTTTTTATAACAGGAAACACCCTAGCTTTGTTATGGTCCCTCAAAATTGCTTGCTGCATTTATTTCACACAGCTGACCTTTTTGTTTTCTCCTAATTTTGTCTCAAGACTAGATGTGAAGAAGGAGCCTTTGTCTTCTCGGTTAATGGACCCATAAGGAAAACCATATAGAAATTTTTTTTTTTTAGTGATTCTTTAAAAGTGACTTTCCACTGGTGATATTGATTGGCCGTAGGGCTTCTGTGGGTGGAAACTTTGGAGGGAGATTTTATCAGGTTTGTTCACAGATAAATTGTATGCCATCATTTATACTTATCTTCCTGATGAACAGTTTATATGCTGACCAGACAGAGTACAATAGCGTAGTGTTTCAGTTTCTTTTTATTTCTCTTATTGAGACAGCAATCTTAAGCTGTTTGGACAAGTTTGCATTTTAGTATTAATTTATAATCAGGGATTGTCCAAACCTCAGTTCTGATTATAGTTTGTAAAAACAAACTTTGGTATCAGTGCACTTTCAAAGGGGTCATCTAAAATGCAAATATTAAGGTTTTCCCAAACTTGAGAACTCTGTCAAAAACAAGTGCTTCATCAGTATAACTTGAAGAGGGTTTTCAGTAATACTATTAAGTTACCTGTCCCTTGGATGAGAAGACTACATGCAATAGATATCCTAGTAAGAAGATATTTGTTAAACATTAATTTGGAGAATTGTCTTTGATAAATGTGCTTTAAAAACTTTAATGAAGAGCATGGTGGCAGAATTAGTGAGCAAGAAAATTGCCCCATAGGAGCCAATAATAATCAAGTGAGATATACTCAAGTTCTTGTATATTAGGCATCTTCCAAGTATTCATTTACAGTGAACACTGGTTTACATTTTTGGGATGCAAAAAGTATGCCCCAAACAGAATATTTTAAAAATAAAAAGGATTGCTACAGCCCTCTATCAGCAATATATAGATCTTTAGATTGAAATTAATTTTTTTAATCAAAAGAACATGATTGATAATATAAAAATGCTGACATTTCTTGGGTGGTAATACTTAGGTAAATATTTGGTCAAAATTTTCCATTCCAATTTTATTAAATGGAAGAAAACAAGCAGGAATTGTAAAATCTAATAGGTTTAAAACAATCTATAAATGTGTTTTATTTCTAAGGAAAATTGTTGAAGCAAGATTTTAAATCCTGCTTTCCCCAAGGTTTTGGAGAAAACTTTGGAAGACAATAGATAGTCATTCAGATACCATATGGGAAATTTAAAAACTTTTCTTTGAATTCTGAAACGTCATTTACAGAAGTGATATGCCATTACTTTTCATTTTAAAGGATGAAAATTAGTGAGATTTTAGTCTTTGATTCAGTTAGTATTTATGTTAAATAAAAAAATCAATATCATGGAAAAGATTTGCCCAGTAGTTGTCTCATGCAGTGAAAAATAAGAATGTTTTGCTGCATTTTTAAAAATCTGGTTAAAGATGTAACTTTTCTAGTCAATCTGGTTTCAGGATTAGCTATTTTAACTATAAGTCTTAACGAGGGCATCAAGTTCACTTATTATCAGACCTTAACCTGAGCAAAAGTTTGGGTATTTACCCATATCCGAATTTAATGAGTGAAAACTGTATTGAGAGTATTATGAGCACTCTTTACCAGAAAATTATTTCCTAGACCAAAAAAAAGGCAATTTGTAGAATAGTTGATTCCCTGTTCTGGCAGCTTTGAAATTTACCAGAGAATGAAGTCATTCCGTACATCGAATACAGGTTTATGCTATACCTCAAGACAACGTAGATTAGTTATTTTTTTATTCTTTAACATGTCAGATTTTTTTCCCCTCCAGAGCTGATTCTAAGTTATTACCAGATAGTATTTTTATGTAATTCACCATCTTAACCAAAAACATTAAAAGACTGATTTCTCCATTTATTATTTATTCTCAGATGATATGAAATGCTAATTTTCTTACAATATCAGTTTTCTACTTTTTATTTTATTGAAGAAAAGTAATTTTACCTTCACTCAGTCTTTATGATCTAGTGTCCACAGCATCTTCCTTTAAACCAACAGCCCAGTGGAGACCCTCTGAAACTGTATAACTCGATTTTAGACAGTCTGAACTTGTTATCTAAATTCTCTCTAAGAAATCCAATGTCGTGTTTTTGAACTACACTGTGGAACTGTAGTTTGTGCTTAATTTACTGAAAGATAGGCTCACAGTAGACACTACTTTGTCCTGAATAATAATTCCTGATGAGAGCTTACTGACTTTTAGTCTTTCCTTAAACTATCTGTGAGTATACAGATTAACTGTATTTGTGATTTGTAATTAAAACAAGTTACAGAACACTGCCTGTGTCTGTCTACCCAAGATATTTGTTTCACTTTTAAAATGCACATATCTTTGGAGAGGTGGATTATTCTACACAAATACACCCTGAGTTCTGTTGTTTAGAATACTTATAGCTCTATTACCACCTACCCTAAAAATGTACTTGCACAACTTAGTTACTTAAAAAAAAGAATATGTATTTCTTCAATAGTGGGTATTTGAATTGTACTCTTGATATATTTGAATGTGACTCTTGGAATTAAGTGCACTATTATTCATGTCTTACACAATAAAATTGCACTGTATGGCAAATGTGTCTATAATGTATGCTTTGCTCAGAGTGCTGTAATGTACAGGTTTCTATATTGTGAACCTGTCTATAGTCTTTGGGAAAAATACTAAACTTTTGTAGATGTGTTTAACATTTTTAATATTATTTATGATGTTCCCTAAATGATAAGTTCAGGTATGTCCTAAAACTGGAATCATTCATCTTGAGTTGGCTGCTTTTTCAAGCTTGGTTTATCAAATCAAGAAACAACCTTTTTCGAACATAGTACTGTTATCTTAGTTTGCAAGATTTATGGGTGGTGTTCTCCCTCTGCCTCCTATGACTGTTGCACAGATGCTAGTGTTCAATTTCTATAGACAATGGTAATAAAATATGAATATATTCAAATGCTGGTAAATCAAATCTGTAGGCTGACTTTATTTTTTTTCTCAGATATTTCTGATTTTTTGCAGTGTTTCAATTAAAACTGACATATATATATGTATATATAGACACACATACACATGTATACCTTGTATTTTGAAAAATTCAGATCCACAAAAAACACTGCAAAATAGTACAATGATTTCTCATATACTGTTCACCTAGATTGAATAATTGTTAACATTTTTTTACCTTTGACTTAATGCTCTTGAGTGTGTGTGTTATTTTGTTGAAATACTTGAGGGTAAGCTGTAGACATCATGACCTTCCACCTAGTACTTCAAAGATATCTCCCAAGAATTAGGAGTATGTATTATACATATTATTTACTCAGTTAAATCAATGAGGGGAATAGGGAAAGTTTCTCCTTAGCATAGATTGTCAACAATGAAATGAAGAAAGAATAACGAAATTAGAAAGTCGCTATTTGGCAGTCATCATAGTAATAATCTAGGCAGTCACCTTAAGTGGATATTTAAAACCTAGCAAGAGAAAGTTTGTGAATAAAAGCATATAGTCTCAAAGTATTTTTTTTATAAAATACTGATTAGTTACAAAGAGGAAAACAGTAACTTTATAGATAAGAAACCTGGCAGATACCACCAGGTTAATATGTCCCATTACTAGTGGTGTTAATTATCCAAGCACAATTAACTCCACTAGTAATAGGACATATCACTATCATGTGCCTTCTGATATGATCCACTGAGAACACAGTATCACTTGTGTTGCATTTTTGCAAAAACAAAAAAAAAGCACAACCTGAATCTAATTTTGAAGAAGCATCAGGCAAACTTAAATTGAGGAACATTCTACAAAATAACTGGTCTGTATTCTTTAAAGAAATTATGAAGCTTATAGAAGAAAAGGAAAGACAAAACCTTTTTATAAGTTTGAAATTATTTCAAAAGTTTTTAAGACGCACAAAGTGAACAGAAAACAGCAGACGGCATCCATACAAAGCTATAAAATTCAAATGAGAAAATATTTCAGCTGATAAAAATTACTCCCATTAATGAAACATTAAACAGAAACAAACTGTAACCCATTCCAAAAGGAAGATATATCTTTCAACAAAACTTCCAGACATGCTGTGAAAAAACACCATGAGAAATTACAAAACCTGGAACTGAAATAGACCAAAAACAAAATAGGAAGGGTAGAAAACAAGGGTTGAATGAACTCAGGAAAGAATTTAAGGAATAAAAAAGTCATCTTAAAGGTGAAATTATAAGATACTCAGGGAAGACTAGGTGAACTAAAAATTTAAAGGCCAAGCATGAAAATAATAAGCAAAAAGATCAAAGAGAAAATCATCGATGTAGAAGACACTCAAATAAGAGGCTATGTGTAAATGATTGGAGTCCATGAAAAAGAAAAAATTATGGAACAGAACCAATATTGAAACTAATCCAAGAAAAGTTTCCAGAAATAAAAAGTCTGAGTGGAACCAGATACAGATTGGTCAATTCCAAGACATATCCTAATAAAACCATTAGACTTTAAATATGAAGAGGTGGGGAAAAAATCCCCAGGGCCTCTAGGCAAATAGAGTCACTTAAAATGAGGTTTCCATTAGAATTTTCAACAACAACATAAAGTAAGACAATAATGAGGACAGCATTTTTGAGAAATAGAAAAGTATGAATCAAGGATTTTTTTTATTAAGTCAACCTGTACTTTAAAAATCATAACTGTTGAAAAGTTTTTAAACATACAAGAACTCAGGTTATGCTGTAGTCAAGGGCGCTTCCTGAGAAATCTGTGAAAAGATGAGTTTCGTCCAATTAGGAGATGACAAGGAAAATTATAGGGCTCTAAATATATTGTAAATCCCAGACTAAGACAAAGGTAAAGACAAGGTTGGAAGAATATAGTGTAGAAATTATGTATTTTGACTAAGTAGAAATAATGGAATTTTTTGAGTAAGAGATAAAAAGAGAGAAAGAATAAGCTCATTGACTGTCATTTAAATAACAGGTAGAAGTCAAAGATACCACTTAAACCCAACAAATCAAATTGTAGAATGTTAGGACAAAGGTGTCTATGACCCCCTTTATAAAAGTATTATAAAGATATCTCTAGAAAAAATTCACATCTTTTTATACCCAAGGAAATAAAAATGCCAAAGGAACAAAGTAAAGAAATACAGTAAATATAACCTAATACACCTAGTAAATACAACAAAAACAATGTGATAATTGAAACCAAACAGCAGACATCAATAAATGTCATTTACTTAAATATCTTCTAATTGATTTATAAAGCAAAACCCAACTCTGCTATGTACAACAGACAGAATTAAAACAAGTGACTTAGAAAGGTTTTTAAAAAATGGTATACCAGTCCAGGTTCAATATATTTCAAAACTACAGTAATCAAAACAGCTTAGTACTCAAAATAAACACAGACATAAAGACCAATGGAACAGAATAGAGAGCCCAGAATTAAACCTTTGTGTGGTCAAATGATCAAAAAGAATGCCAAAACCACATAATGAGGAAAGACCAGTCTCTTCAAAAAATGGTCTTGGGAAAATGAGATCTCCACATGCAGAAGAATGGAGCTGGACCATTACCTTACATCATATACAAAAAAACTCAATGAATTAAAGATGTAAACATAAGACCTAAAACAATAAATCTGCTAGGAGAAAACATAGCTTCACGACATTGGATTTGGCAAGGATTTCTTGGATATGACACCAGAAACGCAGACAACAGAAAAATAGATAAATGCGACCACAGCGAACTGAAAAACTTCTGTACATCAAAGGAAACAACAGAGTGAAATGGCAATGTACACAATGGGAGAAAATATTGCAAATTATTTCTCTAATAAGAGGTAATATCCAGAATATATAAAGAACTCCTACAACTCAACAACAAAAAACCAATAACCAAATTAAAAATGGACACAAGACTTGAATAGATATTTCACCTAAGATGTGCAAATGGCTAACAAGCCTATGCAAAGATATTTAACATCATGAATTATTAGAGAAATACAACTTAAAACCACAATGAGATATGATCTCACACTCATTAGGATAGCCACTACCAGAAAATCAAAAAATAACAAATGTTAAGTATGTGGAGAAACTGGAACTCTTGTGTACTGTTGGTGGGAATATAAAATGTCACAGCAACTATGGAAAACAGTATGACAGTTCCTCAAAAAAATTAAAAAGAATTACCATAAGATCCAGCAATCTCACTTCTAGGTATATTATCCAAAAGAATCTAAAGCAAGATCTTGAAGAGATATTAGCACAGCCATGTTCACTGCAGCAGTATTCACATTAGCCAAGCCACCCAAATATCCATTAATGAAGGAAGGAAGGAATTCCTGTCACATGCTACAACATGAATGAAACTTAATGACATTTTGCTAAGTGAAATAATTCAGTCACAAAAAGATAAATACTGTGTGATTTCACATATACAATATTTAAAGCAGTCAAATTTGTAGTAACAAAGTAAAATCATGGATATATTGTTAAACATGTTCACAATGATGTGAATATATTTAATACCCAACTATACACTTAACATGATTAATATAATAAATATTGGTTTTTACCAGTATTTAAAAATTTATAATAAAACAATGTGAGATTAATATACCTACTTTTCAAATTTAAATGTTTTTAAACTACTGTAAAGTTCAGGGGAGAAAAATAAGCCATTGGAAAAGCGTATAGTGTGACATAAGCAAATTGATGGAGTAGGCAGATCCAACCTGGACAAACTACAGAACCAAGTTTGTCAGATTTCTGGAAAAACAGTCAAAGGTTTACACCAACTAAGCAAATACTGAATAAATTAAAAGGAAATGAGAACTGTAGAAAAATTTTGTGGCATTTTTACCCACCTGTTTCACCACTGTGGGCCCTGTTGAAGGCATCAGAGCAAACTTAGTAAAACATTATTACATATGTCAGTTGTAACCTGTCTAGAGGCTACCTAAAGGACTGATAGAAAGTGTTCTCCGTTTTGCCTAACTCAGAATTCAGGCTGGAAAGGCAGTGGACTTTGATCGAAAATGCTGTGAGGAGAATTAACAATCCACAAAATATTATAGTCAATGTATATAATACTCAAGATACCTAAGGCCAGGGAGGAAAAGCTAGGAGAGACTGTTTGGCAAATTAAGACATTCAAAAACCTTTTGTGTATGAAGTAATTTAGAAGGCCACATACATGCCTAGGTTAAGATACATGTTTAGAAAAGTATTGATAAGGCCCAAGTTTTCACATAGAAGTGATCCCTAGATTGACTACAAGCCTGGTGTTGAAGGAGGGCCCCAACACAGAACTGATCTGCAAAGATTAGAAGAGATAATTTTTGTTTGCGTGTTTTGGTAATTTAAAAAATTTCCTGGCATTCAAAGAAATCTCTGCCAAAACATTAGGTTAACATGAGCCAAAGGAACAGAGACCTCAGTAACCATACATGATAAGAAATCCAATCTTTGCAGAAAAATAGTTTGGGAAACTAACTAAACAAATAGACTACTACAGTCTTCAATAATAACAATAAAACAAACAAAAAGCCCTCAGCAAATCCTGGGGAAGAGCAAGAATCTAATTTTCAGTGTTTCCACATTATAACATTGAAATGTTCAGTTTTCAACAACACCAACAAAATCACAGGACATGCAAAACAAAACAAAACAAAACAGAAAATTATGGCCCATTCAAAGGAACGAAATAAAATGAAATAGACTATCCCTGAAAATTACAGACATTGGACTTACTAGAGAAAGACCTTAAAATAACTGTCTTAAATAGCGTTAAAGAGCTGAAGGAAGACATGGTCAACAAATTGAAAGAAATCACGAAAATGTATGAACAAAATGCAAATATCAATAAAATGAAATTATAAAAAGGAACCAAACAGAAACAAGCTGAAAAGTGTAACAACTGAAATGAAAAAGAATCACTAGAAGGGTTCAGCAAATTATTTGATCAG